TTCTTTGTCATGTCAAGCGCTCTTCTGCTGTCAGATGTTATCCTCTAATTACTTGGAGCGAATCCGAAAAGTACGGGGTTCTTTGATTGTTTGAGGCCTTATGCATCTTGCGTGAGTAAGCGCCGGAAACTGACCGACCTTCCCAATCTAGCAGAGTGCTATACCGGCATTACATGCTCCTTTGTCAGGGTAAATGTCCGATGTCTTCTACGGGAGAATTGACGCCAGCTAATGTAATAGCACAAGCCATAATTGATATTGTGGCAGTCGGCTCGCAGGAACTTCGTGAAGAATGCCTCAGAGCATCAGGTAGAGCATTCGCTATCACGTTTTTGAGTCAGCAGCAGTCTATATATACAGGTAGTCAAAACATGGATGAGCTCTCGAGGACCGTAGAGAAGTCACTAACATCCTTCTTTAAACAGGCCACGAAGAAACAGAGGTGAGTGATTGACTCGCATTTATGTTTGGATCTATGCGCCCTCATTGAACCTCAGGGGGGTTGCAGCTGCGCTTTTATTCCAGTACTTTTTGACTATAGAATGAAGAGGATGGATTGCTTGTAAAAGCTCATTTCTTTTGCACAGATCAGGCCTAAAGTTGTCGCAAGCTGTACCTCAACCGATCAGACGTTGATGTGTATGTCATGTGGAAATGTATCTTCTTGTTCAGCCTTGCAGAGAAGTTACGCTGAGGTTACTTTACATTTTGCATTAATAATTCTTTGACATTTGCGTTTAGTCAGATCTGCACGACTTCTCTTCTGCTGATGAGGAGCATCTCGACTTTTCCACCACGATAACAGTAAGCTCCTTGTTATTACTGTTTTACCAGTAACTCTTCCCTTATCCATTGCATCTGATGTACGCAAAAAATAAGAAGGTTCAGTTTCAACTGCAAACTATAGCTTGGATTGACTCTTGACAATCCCAGTCTTCTTTTTCTTTTGTTAAGTGGTGAAGTCTGGAAGATAATGTCATTTTAGTATGAGGAAAATATCGAAATGCAACTTATGCAAATCAGTGATCGGTCAGAGCTTGCCGGTGTTGCCCGTATTGGAAGTGTTGAAGGCGTTGAGATGTTGAAGGTGGTGAAAGTGCTGAATGTGGAAATTATTAGTAGTGATCTTGCACTTGCCGAGTAGGTGTTTTGCTAATCGCAGAAGCGTTGCATCTGACATCAGAACGCATTACTCGTCGGATTTTAGCATCGGGATCGTCTCTGTCACACAAGTTCTCTACATCCTACATAAAAAGTTCGATGGGGTTCTTTTGCATGCGAGCATTTCTTTTTTTCAACTTTTGTGCGAAATATTACAATTTGAATACAATTTATAATGTTGTAATTTGATATAATTTTTCCAGTTTACACCAATTTTATACAACAATCTACACTTCGGCAGACTTGCCGATGTCCCCTAACCTCCTGAGATGAGATCAGCCGCTGCTGCTAATGTGGTGAAGTGCTTTCGATTTCTTCCTATCTCCCTCGCTCAGGTTGCCTAAGGCCCCGGGCAGACTTCACGCGTTTTGATCGTCGCGACTGAATCGCGAGGAGACAATGTTACAACATCATTCCATGCTGATCAACTTTCATTCGGTTGTGATACTTTTCCAGCCCGAAATTTTTGAATGTGAAATGAAAATGAATGGAAATCTTGGCGATTAGATCGCGACGATTAAGTCGCGTGAAGTCTGACCGGGGCCTAAGGAAGAATGAGACTGCAAAACTAATGATTTCCACATTCAACATCTCAAAACTCTTAAAGGCAGCGTCCAGGCAGATCTGGACCTATGGGGCTTTTACGTGGAAAGTACTTTTGGGGCCCTAACTAAGGCACTGCCCAAGCGGCAGTCAGGTAGTGCTGTAATGGCTGAGATATTCCCTTCGAAACTGGCCCCCGCGAAGGGATCGGCCATACTATTCCTGCTATTCTTACGACTCCTGCGATTCCTGTGAGTCCCGCACAGTTTAGACGCCGCTTAAATGAGCGGGTGTTGCGTGTTAAGTGTTGTTTTACGCAACACGCGCTCATTTAAGCGGCGTCTAAACTGTGCGGGACTCACAGGAATCGCAGGATTCGCAGGAGTCGTAGGAATAGCAGGAATACTATGGCAGATCCCGAACGTAATCGCATGGATCCATGGCAGTTTCGCGCCAGGATCCACGCTTTGCGCCATGAATCCATGCGAAACACGGTCGCGGGGTCCAGTTTCGCAGGGAATATCTCAGCCATTACAGCACTACCTGAGCTGCCGCTTGGGCAGTGCCTTAGTTAGGGCCCCAAAAGTACTTTCCACGTAAAAGCCCCATAGGTCCAGATCAGCCTGGACGCTGCCTTTAACCCTTTCAACACCGACAACACTGGCAAACTCTGAGCGGTCCCCTACTGTTAACTGCCAACCGTTTTTGACCTTTCTTATTTACTTCGTAAGTTATTTTATGGTTTTATCACTTCATTACTGCAATCAAATGACAATTGTACTAGAGCCTAATGGTATGTGACCAATAATTTTTTCACTCTAAGGATTGCATCTTATATATAAAGCTGAAAGTATGTCTGTGTGTACGTATGTTCCGGTTAGAAAATTCCATTTCTGAACTGATCTGGATCAAACTTTGCATACATATCATCGGCTCCCAGATTCGTGTGGAGGTGGAGTCTTGCCAACTCACGGCGTGGCGGTTTTTGCTAGCGAGAGATTGCGAAAAGCAATGCTATGACGTGGAGGTTTAGCAAGTTTACATGTGCTATCAGGCAAAGTCTGCAATACACCTCCACACGAATCTGGGAGCCGATCATACACTTTGGGGCGGGGCGGATGTCTTAGGCTACTTTTCCTTATCAATCAGTATAAATCGATTTTTATCGATTTTTTGTTAGATTCGACCTGCTGAGCTGGGAGTTGGCTCAGGGGCTAATCGAGCATGCTAATTATAAATAAATATCATTTTACAATATCATCCGTTACTTTTATCGATTTTATCGTTTTTTTGCAAAGTTCGAGGATGGGGATTGGCACGGGGAGGGGGTAGTGAGCATCCTGATTACTAACACAGCATGTATACGGAATTGGCATGTGCAAGTGGGCAAGGGAAAGGTTGTATGTACGGTATAGGGATGGGACCTTTATCATAATGTTTTGACAGGGCCGGGCGGAGCCGGGTAAGCCAGCTAGTTGGATTACTATTATCGTTTTACGAAAAAGCTTGATAGGGCTCTATAAATTCCACATGAAGTACATAAGTCACATTTACAGCTTCGGCGCCTTTGTGACGGCAATTGTGCTTGTTTATTTTTTGTATCACATGCTCACAGCTATCACAGCTGTGTTACTGCACTGAACGTTACTTTCCAAATCATCTTTATCACACTTTCTTATTTTGATCATCAAAGAATGTCTCTTCGTATTTGTTTATGTAGTATGTTTGTGGTGAAAGTCGTCTATCGAAAAAAAATGCTGCATCGCTTTGTGTGGGAGTCATGTAGATTGTTCATGTTAGTGAAAGTACCCAAATAGGACGATGGTTTCCACACGCCACCACCTGCTGAGAAAGATGTGAATGCAGATCCTTTCTCGCCTGCTCTTGGCTTACTTGCTCCTCGCAAAACGAGCGTTTCCGTAAGTAGTCATTTCTCTTTTTGAACTACGATTTTGTATAGAGGTGTATTTGGTACGCTGGTTACAGCTGATATCAAATTTGCGACGGTTTTTCAAAAATCACCGTTAGTGCTGTGCTGTTGTGTGTTCACTTGTATTTGCCTAACCTCGCAAAAAAGGTTCTGGAGAATCATTAGTATAATCGTGATCAGCATACCAAATAACTCAAGACGTGATTTTGTAGATCCGCTTTTTGATGGATTCTCAGGTGAACGATTGTGATGATTTTTCTCAAGATGAAGGTGATCCACTCGAGAAGCAAGTGGAACATTCGCAAACGCGATGTGCAAGAAACTTGCAAATTTCAGGATTTGTTGCAGATGATCTGTGGTCGACAGTGAGGAGCCACGTATGTTGCAGCTTTTCTAGTTTATCATACCGAGTACCATTTTTTTACAGCAAGTGCAGGCCATGTGCGAATGTGAGCTCAGCGACTTCTCAGATTAAAATAATTTTTGATAAGTGGTTCCTTTGATGATTTGTGTCATTGCTCTTGTAAATTGTCGATCTGTGTATTATTCAATCTTGTGTTGCTGCACGTGTTGCACTTCTTGTTTAAAGCAGTCCTGACGATTTTTTGCTAATTGGTAGCAATCGATGACCTATCGAGGCGATCTTGCGCAGTTATCTTGCCGCTGTTCTGGTCGCGACGCCAAGTGCAACTTCTAATCTGGTCTCCAGTGTTCATCTGCCCTTATCCTGTGACTGACGTGACAAGTCGCCCCAAATTCCCTTTTTGAGAAATCCTTTTCAAAAAATTTTTTTCCATATTTTTCTTTCGCAATATCAAAAGTTGAGAGTAGCGTTTCACGCTGACAATCTTGATCTCTTTTTCTGGCAATATGATTGCTTTTTTGTCGCCTCTTTCTCGTTATTCCCAGGGATAGTGCCCTGGGAATAACGAGAAAGATGTCTATGAGTTTAAAGACCTTCGCGCTCGACGTGAATAACCACTACGCAATATATAATGAATTCGTTGTTTACCCATTAAGCCACCAGGTTTGTGGAACAGGCAAACGAGGAGGCCGCAGACGGAGAAATTATGATGAAATACACTGATTTTTGGAATTGGATTGCTGCCAAGTGGCATGCGTTTTGGAATGCTGCCAAATTTCAAAACGAGTGACCAAGCATATTTTCGTAAAAGGGTCACACGTATTTCGAAAGGCAGCATGAGTATCGCAATGATTTTGAGAATGGGTCGCCATGTCCGGGTGTGTTGTTTGTAGCTGCTTTTTTTTCGAGCTTGTTATCCCAGAATGTGTCTTTCAAATATGTTGTACTCTTTTAGTTGCTTTTGAAATGATGTCAAATTGCGTAACAGCGTGACTTGAGCTAAATTCATCTAAGTTCCCAACTCTTGGTAAAAATGCTCTAACTAATTGTAAGAACAGCATTTTAGGATTGTCTTGCTTCCACGTGTAGACAAGAGAGTGCGTCAGTAACTTAGTCTCGCTGATACTTCTGGAAGCGTTTATCTAATAACAGCCTTGCTTTTGCTTGTGTAATGGGTCCCGCGGTGCTTTCAACTAGGTATGGTGTAAGCGGCACGTAGGGTAATTGCATCGGGCAGGGAAACAGATTATTGTACGTTTAGGGCAGTTCTTATATTTTTTAAATGGTCTTCGAGCGGCACGTAGGGCAACTGTATCGGGCAGGGAAACAGATTCTTGTACTTTAAATGGTCTTTAAGCGGCACGTAGGGCAACTCGATCGGGCAGGGAAACAGATTCTTGTACGTTTGGGGCAGTTCTTATATTTTTTAAATGGTCTTTAAGCGGCACGTAGGGCAACTCGATCGGGCAGGGAAACAGATTTTTGTACGTTTGGAACAGTTCTTATATTTTTTAAATGGTCTTCAAGCGGCACGTAGGGCAATTTAATTGGACAGAGAAACAAATTTTTGGTACGTTCATGCAATTTTTATAATTGAGGGTCTTTAGGTGGCTCAGTAGTCGTGCTTTTCGGGGAGGGATCTCCTTTTGTAGTAAAGCTTCATATTCCTTTGGCGAAAATATTGAAGGATTTTCTGACAAAGTTCTTAGACGACTGATTTCGTTGCTGTCGGAGTTGATTCCGAGAGAAGTGTTTTTTGTAGTACACATAATTGTTATGGGTGTATTTCTACTTCCAAACCCATAGGTGTTCTTCTACTTCCTTAACGATCTTCTATGGAAATTGTTGAGAAGAACTGGAAGAGCAGATTCTCTTTGAGAGTGTGGAAAAGTAGAAGGGGGGAGGTTATCTGAATGTTCTCTGTGAGGAGGGGAAATTTGCAGAAAGAGCGTGGTAAACGAGAGAAAAATAATATTCCCCATGTATGGTTGCAGCAGGAATTTCAAAAAATGCTGAATGATTTGTGGGGATTATTGCTTCTTCGAACCTCTCCTTTCGTAGAATGCTTTTCGCAAAATTGTTCTCGGAAAGGCGTAGGAAAATTATCTAGAAAAATATATAGTCACATATATAGTATATATATATAGTCACATATACAGGGTGTCCCAAAAAGATGTGCACACTGTTTGATTGTTAATAACTCTCTTGTTTACATGTCTTTTGCCGAGCTTGAGGTACCATTCTGTAGAGCGAGGATAAACTTAGATTTACAGTATGGAGCGACCTATCAGCAGCCCTTCATTACTGTAGGATTACGGTAGGAATTTCTAGAAGGATTTTAGGCCATTGGAAGCGGTATTCTGCCTCAGAAATAAAGCCAAACAAGCCAGAAACTCTTAAACTGGGTTAATCGAAGTCGCTGATTCTAAATATGGAAATGTACGTCAGTATACTGTTTCTTTCGTGAGTTATTTCAGATTTGAGGCAACAACTAGTTTTCCAATGTTTGTCAGAAAAATGAATACGCCATCAAGCAAGCTCGAAAAACTGGTGGAAAGTTATGTAGTGAAATTAGCACGCATGAAAACCTTGCTACACAAATTTTTGAGTTTTTTCAAATTATTTCATCAAAAGGCTTATTCCACAGTGACGCTGTATGCTAAAAGTTCATACCGTGATCCTACAGTACTGAGAGTGATTGGTGATTCGCTCCATACTGTAAATCTAAGTTTATCCTCGCTCTACAGAATGGTACCTCAAGCTCGGCAAAAGACATGAAAGCAAGAGAGTTATTAACGATCAAACAGTGTGCACATCTTTTTGGGACACTCTGTATAGTATATATATAGTCCTAAATTGCAGAGTCGTTTGCACCAGCGGTGCCGCGACTGCTGGTGCAAACGACTCTGCAATTTAGAAGCCCTGTATATAGGCGCGTAAAACCTAATTGCCCGCGCCGTGCCTTGAACACTAACGTAAGCGAGCAGTCGTCGCGAACGACTGTTGGTGTTCACTATTTCCCAAAAAATCTTTCTTTGACTCTCGTGCTGTTCTCGTCAATGCAAGCTAAATTTGACGAAAGCTTCCTTCAAAAGCTTAAAAAATATGTGTGGAAAGGGTGCGCGCCCATTATTGCTCGCAAAAAGCCTGTAGCGCTTCGGGACGCCTGTAGCGCTTCGCGACCAAACGTTTCCAGCCGCGCCGCGTGTTGGTGTTCAAAGCGACGCGTGGGCAATCGGATTTCACGGGGCCTGTAACAGGATAAAAATTTTGCAGACCATTGGTTTCAAACGCCATAAGGCCTCGGACAGAGTTCACGCGGTTTGATCGTCGCGATTTAATCGCCGCGATTTCCATTCTCATTTTACATTCAAAAATTTCGGGCTGGAAAAGTATTACAACAGGAATGCAAGCTGGTCGGTTTGCAGTGGACTGCCTCGGGCAGAGTTTAGGCCCGGGCAGACTTCACGCGATTTGGTCGTCGCGACTGAATCGCGACGAGACAACTGTTACGAGTTCATTGAATGCCGGCCAGCTTGCATTTCGGTTGTGACACTTTTCCAGCCTGAAATTTTTGAATGTAAAATGAAAATGGATGGAAATCGCGACGATCAAATCGCGTGAACTCTGCCCGGGGCCTAAGATACTGTAGAGCTGGACATGATCCAAAATCGCATGACCATGGCGGTTTTTGTAATTCTACAAAATATTGGCTTTAGCTGTAACTGTTCTTAAGCTTTATTAACAATTCACCTTAGCCTATGAATCAGCTGTACATCCCGCAATCTTGCTAATAGCTTTGCCTGGTGTTTCGTTAATGCTCTGCCATGCTGTCACTTATTAAAATTCAAACATAACCAATTCTCAATGTTTTTACAAGTAGCTAACAGTAGCATCAAGTCTATCAAGCTCTTAACTGTAGCATGAAGAATTGTAATGAGCACTCCTCGCTTCTCATGACGCTCTTCTCTCGGCACGCATATAAAAGAAGCTGCCGTTTTCTCATGGTGGGTTTGGTACCTATCGAATAAACGTCTACTCACAACTCCTCGTCGCGCAACCAAAACGGTCAATCCCAAACAGGCGGTGTAAGTACTACACACGCAGTGGGGCGCTCATGGCAAACATCGCAACGCTCTCTGTGTCAGGGGCTTGTTATCTGTAAGCTATCGAGGTAGATAACATTGTTCCTCATTTTATGATGGACACTTTCTCTTTGACCACTTTAGATTTTCCGCTTTCTTGGCGCATGTGAGCGAAGATTATTATTGGTATGAGCATCCCATAGTGTCTCTAAGGGTGATGCTTGTGCATAAACAGTCGTAAAGAGAAATGATCAGACTATTCAGGAAGTAGAATTTCTTTGGGAAGCCACTTTGAGATGCCATTTGTAAATGGCGTGCCGCAAGGAAGTGGGGATAATCTCACCGATGGATGTCCATCTTCTGGAAGAGTACTAGCAATCGCAGGGTGCACCAATTCGGGTAAAACTACTATCGCGAAAATATTGGCTAAGATGGTGAGCGTTATTTTGCACTATCTTGCATTGTTCCATGCTAAATTTCTAGTTTGAAGAGGATGAGGCTACTGTGACAATTGTTCATCAGGACCTGTTCTACTACTCAAGTGAAAAGGTTTGAGATTTCTACATTTTTTAAGAGATGTTACATGAGTTCTATTTTCAGTTTGAAAAGACACGTAGAAAATGCGCCAGTAACCCAGATTTTTTCTACAACTACGACGTGAAAACCTCCGTGGACCACGAAAAGCTAATCAACACAATCAAAGCGGTCAGTAAGTGTAATTTTCTAAGTCATACCTTATCGTGACGGTCATTTTGTTATAAGGCGTCCTCTTATTCGGGTTGCTTGGCATGAGGAGACCCAAAGCCGATTTTTTGGTTCTCTGTAGGAGGTGGACTTTACGATAAGATGGGTATACGCGCACGTCTACCCCGCAGTCCCCCACTGAAAACTCGATATTCGTGGTCCTTTCGCCAGTTTTTGAAAATTTGCGTTCTAGCTTGTATTTATTGAAACCTCGCCAGAGAAGCTTTATCGTGATGAGTATCACTCATAATCAGCATGAATGCTGCTGCATCTCAAATCCAAATTCTGGGTCTCACAAGGGAAGGATGGTCAGTCGAAGTGACCTTTTGCGATGATTTATATATCATACTGGAGAGCATAAATCGCTGATTTCAAATCTGTCTTCCTTATCTGCGGCGCGTTCCTGCACGAGAAGTTAAAGGCAGTGTCCGGGCAAAATGGGGGTTCTGAGATTTCTCTGCCATGTGAAAGTAGCCCCCCTGAGACACAACATCGCGCAACTGAGCATAAAACGTTCGACCTAAAGCAAGAAAAACGATTGCAAATTGGGGAAACTTACGCCTTGGGGCGGGGTCCTCCGAGCTGTTTGAATTCCTGCCAGACGGCAGAGTAGGTATGCCGCCACAGTTAAAAACCGTGCGCTCTTTGCAACCTCTGCGTCTTAGGTAGGTGCCAGAGTAAGCGAATATTTTGTTCAAGTTGGGGTCCCGCGCAGAACTGGCATTACTAATCATTGTGGCATAGTGCCAAGTTGGCGTTGTGCCACAATGATTAGTGATGCCAGTTCTGCGCGGGACCCCAACTTGAACAAAATATTCGCTTACTCTGGCACCTACCTTAGCCTGGCGGGGATCCCCAAATTTCGAAATGTGAGGACTTGGAAAATGCATGTTCTCGCCGTTTTCGCGCCGCTGAATCCGAAAATCCACACTGGAAAGCGCGAAAACGGCGAAAAAGGGCTCTAACGTGGGAGGGAAATCAGAAGTGGGCGGGGTCTTCCCCATTGTGATTTTCGCAGTCCCAACTTCTGGAGCGATCTTTTCAATTCCGCTAGCACTCTAAGATCTCCACAGGCCAGGTGCAATTGCATGACTTGAAATTGGAATCGAGAAGATCGCTCCGGAAGCTTGGAGCGTGAATCCACATTGGGGAAGACCCCGCCCACTTGTTGATTTCCGCCCAGCGTTAGGGCCCTTTTTCGCCGTTTTCGCGCTTTCCGGTGAGGATTTTCGGATTCAGCGTGGCGAATAGGCCCAGATAAGCACAAAATCTCAAAATCGAGTTTTTGCCCGGACACTGCCTTTAAGAGCGTTTACTGGCGAAAAATCAAATGTGCAAATAGTATCAAAAACAATAGTAACATTATTCCTGGCGCTTAAATGGACCAGCGGTAATCTGTACAGCACTCTTTAGAATGAGTACTCGTAGTGAGATATATCCGCACACCGGCTTTCTCATTCAAGCGCTGGGAAAATATTAGCAACTGCTTTTATCCCAGAAAAACACTCATTTTTTGCTCCTTTAAACGCTCATAACTCCCCGTCCAGGAAAGTGCCGCAGATAAGGAAGAAAGATTTGGAATCAGCGTTCTATGCTCTCCACCAGGATATACAACCCATCTCAAAAGGCCACTTCGACCAACCGTCCTTTCCTTGTCAGATTCCGTTGAGATTTATAAGATTCCTATGCCAAAGAGCGAAATCTACGGCTCAAAAAGTTTGGGACGCGGATAGCTAAATAGCGTCCTACGGGCACGCAGTTATTTGACACTATAGTTGAAAGGTTCACGCAGTTAGAACGGCCGTTTTGTTGCGATTACGGTGGGCATAAGGAATGCATTCATAGTCTGAAAAATTGCTGGAACTTATAGAGCATCATTCGATGTCGATGAAGAGTTTTATCTTGCTATGGTAATGTCTCAGTATGCGATAGTTGTAGATGTGCGCAAGATTCCTCTTGCCTCCACATTTCAACGAAACGAGCGGTTATGATGACTTAAATCAAAGTGCTAAGTATTCTTCCATGCGAAGTTATAGAAAGATTTGGGATTCTGCAATTTTTTTGATCACTTAACGCCCTAAACTTTTGGTACGTAAAGCATATTTTCAAAATACTGGGGTGCTTGCTTTCAATAGCAAAAATACCATCGTGGTGGATTCGTATAAATGGTGAAATCGTGGAATCAGAATTTTCAGATTGCTTGAAAAATTGTTTCAAGAAATTTGAAAGCACGTTTTCGGGACCACTCTTACCTGTTTTCTGCCTACTTATGGAAAACTGCTGCTCTACCTGTCGAAAAGTTTTGAACACCAAAATGAAGAGAAACTCTTCTGCCTTTACAATTTGAGAAGTTTTTCAGGGAATGCTTGCTTATGAATATGTCATCGTTGAAGGAAACATGCTAACAGAATGGACAGATGTCATTGAACTATGTGATCGTGTGATCTTTCTGACCCTCGATCAGGTATTCTCAGACTAATGACTGCTCCTAATTACATAAGGACAGAAGTTCTTACAGGATACGTGTCGTCGGCGTCGCATCAAACGTAGTTACGATCCGCCGGACATCCCTGGTTACTTTGAAGAGGTGCTTTGGCCAGCGTATCTGCAACATCTGCAAAAAGCGCTTGCGATTGCAAGAGAAGATCGTCGTATATCATTTTTGGATGTGGCATCCGATACGGATCATCCCGATGCAGAGCATATGCTAGCGGTAAGGCTCTTCTTGCTAACTGGTATCTATTGGGAGTCTTCTGGCATTTCTCTTTTTGTAGTTACTTCAGTCCTTTTCAAATGATATTATCCGAATCTGCTACGAAACTCTTGATATTGACGACGTACTCCGAATGGTAAACAGGCATGTAAGCATTTGCTCAAGATAGTTCATTTTTGTAGTGGTTGTTTAAGCCCCTCGTGCGGAGCTACATCGGTGTTCGTTGGAACAACACGTGACACGTTCAATGGAAGAAGGGTCGTCAGGCTTGATTATGAGAGCTACGACGAAATGGCGTACAAAGTCCGTTTTTTCAATGCATACTGATTCTCCAGCACATGACCTCTTCAGGAATTACGCAAACTATGCAAAACAATCCGCAATAAATACCCATCTGTGGAACGGATCGTCATAATACATAGGTGAGCAGATGTCAGTGAAATTTTTGACTTGGAAGGATGAGATCATTTGTTTTCTCTGTGAGCCATTCTTTCTTCTATCTTCTGAAATTGGACCAAATGGAAGTATATTGTTGGCCTAACTTTAGGATTGGCGAAGTAGCTGTTGGTGAAGCTTCTGTTGTGATAGCAACTGCGTCGCCGCATCGAAAGGATGCAATAGAGGCGACTGAAATGGCTATCAATGAGCTGAAACGGGTTGTTCCCATATGGAAGAAGGTATCACAGACCTTCATAAGACTTATGTTTTGTTTGAATTGTTATGTGCTTGAAGGCAGTGTATCGGCAATATTTCGTCTTCCGGTTTTTCACCTTTTGGAGCCTTTTCGCCATGAGGATCCTTATATGGGCTTTTCAGTGCGGCAAATGGCAAAAATGAGCTTCTCCCGAAGCTTTCTAGGTCCGCAATCAGTGGAGAATACGTGTAAGTAGGCGGGGCGCGAAAGACTTCCGGCGTATATGTACTGAATGCGGATCTGGAAAGCTTTGGAAAAAGTCTTTTCGCCGCTGAGAAGCGCAGATATGGATATCTTGGGGCGAGAAGGCTCCGAAAAGGTGAAAAATTGGCACGAAATTCTGCCGGGACACTGCCTTTAAGCTGTTTGCCTTGCCAAAGATTGTTTGTGTAGGAGGTGTACGAAGATGGTGGCTGTTCGTGGAAAGAAAATGGCGAGTGGTGTACAAACAATCGGGGCGGTGGGTCTATGGAAGAGAAGAGCTTTGCTGAGGCCAATAGGTCCGATATTTGGAAATTTGCTTCATGTCATTTCATATGTTTCAGAACGAGGGATGCGAATCGAAAAGTGTTTTGGTTGAAGCAAATGGTGAAACAAATGAATGTGAAACAATCGTGACGATTTTGCGACAATTAGAGAAGTGTTGCCTATTTAGTTATTGCTATACCAGTGCGTCACCTCTGCTTCGCAGAGGCTCACACTGCCCTACTTTCTGATGCTTTACTCATTCCCGCACAAAAGTCGCAATGAAACTCACCGCGCTATGCCTACTATCACGAATGCTTTGTAAACAACTATTCATTCTAAAAGCTTTTCCATATGAGATCGGTAATTTCGCGTGAATGAAACTTCTCCCAAAGGAACAAATGCTGATTTGAATCGGTTTTTTGAGTTTTCACGGCTTGGCATTTGCCATAAAATGTCACCGTGGGCTACATCTCTGTGCAAAAATCTTTTCAAGTGATCGGGTAAAACCTTGGCAAAGTATACATTTACGCAACCAAATCGTTTTGGCCCGTTTTTGCAAACTAATAAACTTTAGTTCAATTTTTTGAGCTAAAGTCCATCGTTTGCACATTAACTTGTCAAACAATCCGTGACTTTGCAAAAAGTTGTGCTACAGGCCCAATTTTACTCACCAAAAGCCAAGTGGATCCGACTGACGCGCAATTTTTGAGGGATCCACACAACGGATCCGCTCATGCTTTTGTACAGTGGACATTTGAGAACTCGCTCCATGAATTTCGTGACAGACAGAGATTCAGACACACACTCACACACAAACGTAAACAACCCTTAGCCCGTTATTGTAAGTTATGATGTCTCTTTGTAGTTCAGTCGCTAGGCTGTGAGTCATTTTCGATTTTCAAGTTGAACTGCTCAAAAGTAAGTGTAGATCCAATGCTCAGATGAGTGAATTCTACATGTCAAGTAGACAAACGTCTTGCTGGCCGAACTAGAGTGCATAAGGTGGAACAGGCTGGGGGTTCTCTATATCTGTGCACATTGGGTTTTCCCTACCACCAACATCTCCATACGCCAATCATCTCCATCACGTCCATGTTGTCCATTATGAAGATCTTGAAAGATCCACAATAAGTTTAGCAAGTAAGCTCTGTCGTCCAGTGAAGGTAATCCAGTAAGCAAAGATTATACATTCTCATTGCCTCACTTGTCTTTGTCATTATTTGTCACGACGTAAATGATTAAAATCGAAAAAATTAGAGCAGCTTTTTGAGAACATGTAAGAGTCCTGCACTTCCTCGCTAAGAGTGCCTTCATACCGCGCCCGTAGCAGCCGCTGGCATCCCGCGGCAGCCGCCAGCAGCCCGTAGCAGCCGCCAGCAGCCCGTAGCAGCCGCCAGCAGCCCGTATAGGCCGTCCGCGCTGCGCACGGAGAGCAACGGTGTTGCGTACATTGAAGGCAGTTCACGACTGGAAGAAGCGCAGAGAAAAACAAGAGGCGAGAGTGCACGAGGAAAGAGGAGTGACGCGCAATACACACCTTGCGCACTCTCCGCGCCCTGCGCGGACGGCCTATAGCAGCCGCCAGCAACACGTAGCCGCCGCTGGCCGCTTTTGTCATGGAAGCGAAAATCAACAAATTCTTAGTACTTTGCGTGCGCCTGCCCATACTTTCCGTTTTCAACGCCGATGTAATTTGATTGAAGCAGAACATCCTAAAAATTAACAAATAGCAACCTGCAGGAACTGGACGCATCCAAAGTCAGAAGAAATCACATCGCGAAGAAACTTTGGCTAAACATGGTTCATTTGCGAGAGGGAAACTGAGCATCAGTAGGATAATCAATCTACGGTAACAAGATAATAACAACAATGGACACGAGTATGATGATATATGAGATCAAATTGAGGCAACAAGGAGGAAAAAGCGTGGAGGATGGAGGGCGTGGACGGTTGCCTTTAAAGTAGTAAGAAAGAATTTGGTGATTTTGCGCTTGTATGACAAAAGCGGCCAGCCGCGGCTACGGGCTGCTGGCGGCTGCTACGGACTGCTACGGGCTGCTGCGGGCTGCTAGCGGGGGAGACGGTCAAGAGGGGCGATTTCTCTGGGTGCCACCAATTCAAAACTCAAGTTTAGGGCTATGCAAGTCTTCAAAAAGCACCAGACAAAGTACATTGGTTTACTAGTCATCTATAGTTACTACTTGCTGAGTTTGAAGGCTTTTGCTGCAAATCCAACCAAAATAAATACAAATTTGTTGTTTATTGCATTTTCATGAGTTTTTGACCTTCAACATTTTCATTTCGAATCGCTTTTGACATAGCAAGACTGGACAACTTGTGCAAGTATCCAATACATCTCCCCTAAACTCTGAAATACTCCCAGAACCTTATAAAACACCAAATATGTGCTATTTGCTGTCCAGCTGGCAATAAAAATCGCGCCTCTTGACATACACCCTGCTAGCGGCGGCTACCGGCGCGGTATGAAGGCACCCTAAACCAACAACTTTTTATCCGTTCTTCTCAAAATCTCCCACCGATTATGGGTACCTGCAATTCCGCTCTCGGATGGGCTCAAAGGCAGCGTCCAGGCAAGTCTGGACACATGGAGATGTCACGTGGATAGTAATTTTGGGGCCCTTACTAAGCCACTGCTCAACCGGCAGCTCAGGTATAGTCGCCCTCACCCCACTAGTCGGTCGGTGGACGAATTCAAATTTGAATTGGAGCAGGCCTGTCACGGCAGAGCGCGGCAGGAGGCAACGCTCAGCAATTACAAAAACTCAATATAGATCAAAAACGTTGTAACAATACAAAACCTGCTAAGCAATGGCCAAGAAATACGCAAAGTGAATGCGTGAATTTGAACGGAGAGCTAAGGTGCCGTGCTCTGCCGCGACCTGCCTGCTCCAGTTTGAATTCGAATTCGTCCACCGACCGACTAGTGGGGTGAGGACGACTATAGTGCTCTAACGGCTGAGATATTCCCCCCGAAACTGGACCCCGCGATCGTATTTTGCATGGATTCATGGCTCAAAGCGTGGATCCTGACGAAACTGTCATGAATTGATGCGAATACGATCGCAGGGTCCAGTTTCGAGCGGAATATCTCAGCTTAGAGGACTACCTGCGCTGCCGCTTGGGCAGTGCCTTAGTTAGGGCCCCAAAAGTACTTTCCACATAAAATCCTCATAGATTCAGATCTGCCTGGACGCTAGCTTTAAGCGTTTGACCCTGTTTGGATTATGAAAATTGTCCGCATTGTTTAGATTTCATGTGACGACGTAATTCTATTGAGTATCAAGTCCTTCCGTTGCTACGACGTAAACCTGCCCTTTCAACTTATCAGCTTTTGTAAAGTTTGCTACGTCTGCCTTGTTGACTTAATTTTTCAGTCGTGGAAAATCAGAAATGTCGATTGTTGCCATTGTTGTCAAAAGCTCAAATGCAGCTTCTATTTGTTACATTTTGTCATTGTGTTTGTTTGCGATAAATGGGACTTGTATTAGTGTCTATGTGCCATTAGTGAGATAATAACGAGCACAAAGAGAGAAAAGCAAACATGTTGTTTAAGATTCGCTCTTTGGCTAACAGTCGCCAAAACTTCAAATGAGTAGGCAATATTTGCATTTCTGTGTGCATTGACTTCAGAAGTTAGGTGCTATGTCGTGGAATATTGGATATTTCTCCAAAATCTGTAGGTACTCTTACTCTGGACAAATTCTTGGTGACAACTATAGGGAGCCTTGGATAAGTCATCTTCTCGGCCTCACAAAAACGGTGTTTTTTTGATTGAGAGGTTCAGTAACATTTCCAAGTACACGGCTTCAAAGTTAGTATTTATTAAATTACGCGACATTCATCTGAAAAGGTACCAATAAATAGACTGCCTAGTCATCTCAGAATAACAACACAAACATATATAGACTACAAACAACAATGATGGCATCAGTTTGTACATGATTAAGAGACAAGTTTATCCGATAAAAATCCGGGCAGTCATTACTAACGAATCCGTTTTTGTACCTTGCACCTATACTTTAAAACTAGAACCGTTTGATCTTTGACTACGCAAATTGCGTAATAGTCCTACTGGCATTCCTTCTAAATTTGATTGCCTGAATATCACTTTCTTCCTCTTAGCAATAAGTCTGAATACTGGAATGCATGCTGTTCGATAGGCGAGAGCTTGGCATATTTGCAAAAGCCTCGATACGGGGAGGAGATAAGGCCTTTTTCGTTGGTGCTCTGAAAACATATCTTTGTTCGAGAGTAAAATCAGTACTTGTGCCTAAAGCCGGTCCACTTAAAGGCAGCTTATACCCAAAATTTCACCTTCGATGTTTTTGTCATTCTGGGGCCTTTCCGTGCCGCTGATTACAGTTATGTCATTGAAATCCTCCAAAAGTCCCAAAAACCCCGATTTCCGGGGACCCTCTCTTCAGAGACGGACGAGTTTCGAACTGCTCGTCCTTGTCGGCATGCCAGCAGCTGCAGCAGCATGACAGCCTGCAGTTGCAACTGCAACTGCTGCATATGCTGTCGTGGTTCGTCGCCCGAAGGAGGCGCACCGCAAAAAGCAACTGCACTGTTGCAACTGCAGTTGCAGATGCAACAGCATTGCAACAGCAACTGCAACGGCAACTGAAGCTTACGCTGTCGTGATTCGGCCGGAGGAGGCGGAGCGAAAGAAAAGGGGCGTAGTGAAAGAAAATTGAGGGGGATTTTCTCCGCTCAGAAGCAACATTGGGAGACCGGACCAACGCAGTTGGTCTTCTTCTGGGCCCAGTATATAAATGGTATAGAAAGATCTAGGAAATTCGGTAACTTAAATTTTGGGTGTACGCTGCCTTTAAGAAAAGCGGCCTGTTAAAGCAAAGAACAGGCGGGATAGCACATTTTTTTTTCGCGTACCGTGACCTTCCCACTTTCCCCCATCCTCTCACATCCCCCCCCCTATTCCTCGTTTTGAGAAAATTTCTGCATTATGAGCTTTCTGAAAAACCGGAGGAGGTGAAGGGGGGGCATTTCCGAAAATGCTCCGCGAAATTATTTACTGAAGGTGGACCACATATGTAAAGGCTACTGCATGGCGAAGGCGCAGAAGCAGTGTTAGTTGAGCTGGTGCGAACGCGACGCGCGCGTATCTCTGCTGTTGTAACTGCTACGCTTTATGCGCCCTGCGGCTAATAAAGCCGCGTCGCCCAAAGATACTGCGCCTTCGTCATGCAGCAGCCTATAGTATGAGGGTGTCCCATGATTTTCTACGGTTTTTACTTTCTCCTGCAGTAACTCATATCCTTCTTGTTTCTTAGTTAGGTGCATACCATTCGACAGAGCAAAGCAAGTTCTGCCATAGAGCATGCAAAAATACGCTCCAAGTTTCTTCTACCTGAAGTTTGAAGCCGAAATTTATGGATGCCCGAAAAGTCAAAAAGAATCGCACCTCTGATACTTATCTGTAAATTTGCTTATTTTCTCCATAGCCAGAACTCGAGAATCACAAAAAATCTTCGTTTTCTGTTTTTTTACGCTAAGTTTGATGTTTCTTAAAATGTCTAACTATGGAAAGCCAAAAATCTAATATTGTATTTTAGATGGTTTATACTGCAGAATTACCTAGTAGGTGCAGCTTTGGCGAAAACATGCAAATTATTTCCTTCTCCATCTTCAGCCATGAAAAAAAAAAGAAATGCACATATAAAATGCTGGATGTGGAGTATATTGAGCAAGTATAAAGTTCATAGGTATTTTTTGAATGGAGATACGATTTTTTCGCGATTTTACAGGCATTTATAATAAATCTTGGATTTCGTCTCCAACTCCATGTAAAACGAAGTTTGCGCAAAGTCTGGAGTTGTCTTGTAGAGCTTGCTTTGCTCTGTCGAAGGTACCGCAGAACCTGTTCAAGAGACAAGGAGAATCTGAGTTATAGTGAGAAATTAGAAACAGCAAAAAATATGGGACACCTAAGTTTATGCAAATGACTTGTTCTTTCTAGCAAACAATAGAATTTCAGATTTTTTTTGGAATTCAAATGAAGTTTTCACTCTACCCATCTTTATTAGGATATCCCAAAATTTTTCATCTTTTTTACTTTCTCCCATTTTCTCAAGAGGCCTTGCAGAGCAAGGTGAGCTCTACCAGACAGCTCCTGTTTTACATAATAAGTCCGAAGCCGAGATCTAAGATGTTCCAAATGCCCGAAAACTCGAGAAAAAATCTATTTCCGTTCAAAAACCTCCTACGATATTCCCACTTGCTCAGGCATGTACTCTTTACATCTACTATTTATCTGTAAATCTGCTTATTTTTGCCATGGCTAGAACTCAAGAGACGTATATACATCAAAATTGGCCAAAAATACGGAAAAGTCGCTTCTTTCAGGTTTCTTTGCACTAGATTTGATATTTTCGGAAATCATCGCCTCTGAAAGTCCAAAAATTCATAGATTACTTTCAAAGGTTCATAATTTAGAGTCACATGCGTGGGGGCAGCCCAGCCCAGCTGTGGCAAAAACATAAAGTTTTCTCCCATTTCTAGCCGTGTAGAAATTTAGCAAATCAGATAAATACTTGAAGTGGAGAGTACATGCCGCTATTTCGGAAATTCTAGAGGATGGTAATGTAATTTGCTCACCTTGATCTCGTAAGCAATAAGTTTAGCAGTGCACCCGATGCGAGACCGATACAGAATAAAAACAGTGTCCAAGGGCTCACTGAAAAAAAAACTCTTTACTGATCGCAGTTTCGTCCATACATTGCCAGAAACTTCGTATCAAAAGAGGGCATTGAAGTTTCGAGCAACAGTGAACATTGAAACTCTAAATGTGAAAATAACTCATCACTCACAGAGTTGTGCAGAACTAGTGACAATTTCCCTTTGAAAAATCTCAGTGGTGCACGGCAGCTGCGTAGGCGCCTCACACAGACATTGCATCTTGCCTGCAAAGCTGATTTGAGTTTTTTTCTAACTTAGAAAAACAATTTCTGCAAAGATGCAGCGGTCCCTACGTTGCTGAGTAGGTTCTTCTGTGGTGGTGGCCCTTTCGCTCACTTGACTTTTGCATTTTCCCAGATCTTGGGTTAGATACTCCCGCCTACTGAAATATGTATGGATAATTCCGACCTGAGAGAAAATAATCGGATGGTTGGAGTGAGACTAACAAGATATTTTCGCTGACAGACACACATTCTGCTCCATGCAGTATCCACGCACAGTCCGGATCACCCATCGACAAACAGTCTGAGCAGCTCTGTTGCTGCTTGCACATTGAAGATGGGAGCAGTATCAACTGAAAGTCTAAATTTTAGGGGGTTAGGTCAGTGACGGACGCAGAGAAGGAGGAGATGCAGGACAAATAATATTATCTAACATGAGATGACTTTAGTTACAAGTTTGCAGGTTTATCGCCTGATGTTTCGGTAACGCGCTATCTTCATTCAGTTTTCCCTCAAAAAGATGGATTTCCAGGAATTATGAGTTCATCTTCTACAAGTCCCTCGACTGGTCGGTCATTTGGCCGCTCTTCCCACCCTACCGGACGTCGAACCCCTTGATCCAGGAAGCCCCGGAACAGCAGGATCAAGTATGTTCCACCCCAACAACGACTGTTCACACATCGAATTCAACGTGAGACGCCTGCCTAACGAAGACCAACATGAACTGCAAGAAGCCCTGAAGATAACACAACTCAATATACTGGCCCTAACGAGATGGAGAGAAAGAAGAAGCTTGGCACTGGCAATTGGCAAAGAGTAAGATCACTCACGTTAAAAGAGATCAGTTTGTTTGGGTGCCTCATATTATAATAATATGAAAGGCAAATAAATCAAATCAAATCCAGGAATTATCAAGTAGGTCCAAAAGTTCGTTCGCATAATCTTCTCATCGTGATGGAAAGATTTATTTGAAGCAGAATTCATGACCTTTCGGCAGATCTTTACTTGAAGTAGCATAAGTAAACGCGAGAGCTAGAAGCAAGTGAATAAAAGTACTCAGAAATGGTATTCAATACAAAGTACAATAATTATAAGATACAAACATATTTTGACATAAACGAGAAACAGTTTGTAGAGATTATCCACTACTACTTAGGTTACAACCTGCGGCCTTTTAATACTTTACCTTTGAAAGGTTGAGAAACAGTTTTATTAATTTTCATTTGCTTTCACTCTCGCGTTTTCTCATACTGACTGATGGCAAAGGCACTAATATGATGCGCATAATTTTTACTTCAACCAAAAATGCTTTTATAGTGTGGCTTGTCAACAAAACTTCAATTTTGACTGATTTTCTTCAATTTGTTCTAACTCCTACGCTTACTTGCACTATGAATCAAAGGTGCTACTGTAAAGTGCATGAATTCTGCTTTCGAAAATTGGTGGGCACAAACTTTCGATCAACCTAATATTTGGTCAAGAGTAAAAAGTTTTCGAAGAATAATTTTTTACTTGTGACCAAATTTCAAGGTACCAAGCTTGAATGTCGAAGCCAAGAAATTTTTTTGTAGACATTTAATGTCACTCTCTCTTTAAAAAGACTCTTTCGCCTTTGCGAATGAAATTTCTCTGACCTTCTTTACAACAAATATCAGGTTGTCCCGAAAGTCCTGTCGACTCGTGTATGATAATTCAAAACTTCGCGCTGTTTCAACGGAATTGCTTCATTGTGATTTTATTGAAAAGAATAATTCTTTTGCGTTCGAATATTTTTTTGCCGAACTTCCACTACACGCTGTTGCAGAGATAAAAATAGAAAAAGAAGACTATAAGGTTAGGTCATTCTAACTTGAAACGCCAAGAATCTGGAATGTTTCAGAAAAATCTGAAATTGCCAGTAAATAAGTAAATAAGCTTTTTGACCTACTTATTGCAACTGTGAAAGGGTTACGCGGTTTGGAAGTCTTTGAGAGAAGTTGCAGATTTCGCGTTTACCACAAAAAACGCCAAAATTAATTAATTTGCCGCTTTTCCCAAAATCATAACTTTTTACAAACACGTCCAAACAGCACAAACTTTGTAGTTGCAAAGGCTAGCTCATAAAACTTATGTATTGACGATTTCAGATATTTCTGTAGCGTTCCGATTTTTGGCGACTTAAGTTAAAAAGATCAAACCTTATATGATTTTCTTTTTCTACTTTTTTCTCTGCAACTGTGCATATCAGAAGCTTGGCAAAACAGCGTTCGAAAGCGAAAGACTTATTCTTTTCAATAAAATCAAACTGAAGCAAATACTTTGGCATAGCGCGAAGTTATGAATTTTCAAGGATAGTACATAATACCAACTTTCTATTGCATACTCTTGTACTCGTTTGAGGAACAGCTAAAAAGATTTTTCCCGAAAAGAAAAGTCATAGGAATTTTACGAATCTGACATGAGAATCCAATAGCTCCAACATAGAGACTGTCAAATGCGATTGCATACAAAATTATACCTGTGTAGTTGTAAGGATGAGAAGACTTCTGGCTGTTTGCTGATTTGGTCGCCGCTCTACATGTGATGTAAGAGATATTATAGGTGATGAGGCCTGAAATGTTTGCTCATTCCGGCATTGGTCTTGGCATTCAAATTCTCACCTCGACCGCTTTTGTAGAACTAACATGTCGTGCTTCTGCTTTGACTGCATTTTTGACAACTTTGAATATCCTGCCTTGGTCGGTAGCGATGAAGAAGGCTGTGCTATGGCGACCAGCCAGGTCTAGAAGAAAAACGTTATCATGGGAAGGGCCAAATGATGTTTTAAAAACTTACCCACGACGTTTTCTTGCACCAAAATCTCTGTGAATCTGTCACTGCCATAATGTACAAATAGTGGAGAGTTAGAGAGCTCTGAGAAGCTTCATTTTTTCCTGTCTTATTCAAAGTATCAAAATGCTTACTGGTGGGCACTAACGGATTGTTACGGATGTAAGTGTGCTCATAAGTGTCATTCGCCCTAGGGCAATTCGCTTTCCTGTTACGAAAAGCCGCTCCCATTGTATGGGATATGGTGGCACGAGAATAGGCACAGATGGCTGAAGAGCCAAGACCAGCTAGTTGAGATCGAAAAGCCCCGTAGAGGAAATGTACTCCAGCGGCGACCGATGCTAGCTAAAAACAAAAATCTCTGATTTATATGTTTTTCAGGCACATCAACTTTGATTTAATAAGTCTTGCACACTCTGGACGCTCCGTTTTTTTCGGACTCAAAGATAGTTCACGTTGCTTTTGAGAACTGGTAATGCTATGGGCGCGGAGTGAGCCGCTAATTATCCAATAGCCGCTTGGATGAGCGCAATGTCGGCTAACGGCCTCTCAAAGGTAAAGTCCACCCACATTTTCGACTTTCCGTGTTTTGGGCGTTTCTGGGCCTTCTCATATCTCTGATTACGCATATGAAGCCGAAAATCCGCGAAAACTCCGACAATTCCCATTTCGGGGAACAGGTTCACCGGTTTTGCGGGACGGTGATTGAGTGGTCGGGCAGGAATGGGCGGACATTACTGGAGGAGGCGGTGCTGACTTGAGGTTCTCATGCCTCTTCGCTGTTCCGAAGCGATTTTCTCGCTTTCGAAGCCTATTGCCTATTATTGCCTTGATAGGGGGTCCTACTATCGCAAACTGCCAAAAGCTCAAGACCCCTAATTTAGGGTGGGCGGTGTGTTCAAGTGGCTTGAATTGAGCATTAGATGCTCACGATTCCAGTCAGCATTCTCTACGTCCAATAAAAAACGAATCTCAACAATGAAATAGCGAAGCATGATCATTAGCACTTTTAAAAAGTGCAAAATTTAACTCCAGATTCGTGCGTGTCAAATTTGCAGATTTTTTACCTGGTTGAAATAGAGCGTATCCTGATCCTTGCCTTCAATTGCACAATCTAAGCGGCTCTTCACGAACGACGTCCATTCATGTTGGTGCTTTCCACTTAAAATTCAAAATGATATCGTACACTTCATAAAATTCAAATGCTCACAATCCTCCGACGTCGTCGCGACATACTCGTCCTACTCGAGCAACTCGTCTCAGCCCGCAGCCTTCGATATCGGCTGGCGGCTCGGAGAAAAATGCCAGCACTTCCTATAAACTTGATTAATATGATGATAGCAAGGAAAGAAATTGAGAGACTTTGGTAAGGGTGTAAAATCTTGAAGAAATTCTGGTGTGTAATCTTTTATGTTTGAATCTGCCAAAACCTGCTTTCACAGGTGTACTGCTTCTCGTCAATGTTATAATGTGACTTATTCCCTCATGCATTTATAAATGCCGGATATAAATAGGCAAAAAACAATGCAAAATCCAAGCAGCGCTGTCCATTTCTTCGCCCATGGCTACTATTTTGAGGATTTATATAACTAAACTGTGAGTCCCAGTTGGTACCCAGCCCGTTTTCTTGGCATTCCAAAGCGAACTTTTCTTCAAATTTTCACAACTCGAAACCAGATCGTAGAGAACGTATGTGAAGATGACTCTGGGAAACTATGATAGCAAAATCAATAAAAATCAAAAAGTCAGCCATTTTTACCGAAAGGTGCTTTGGCATATGTGCAGATTACTAATAATAAAATGATGAGATACGATGGCACTGCAAACGATTAATATGACAGTGATGGAAATGACAAAGACGAATCAAAACATGACAGATAACTGTTGAGTCACAATTACGATGAAAACAAAGGTGAACTGCATATTTGTCATATCAAAGCTGATTTTGTGCAATTATAGCTCAAAGAAAAAGAGAGGAAATGCTCCAGAATGGTTAATTGGATGAACTGTAGATTGTTAACCGCTTAAGAAGTCTTTTAATTGTCCAAATAGTTTGAAATTTGGAAAAATTCGAGCTCGTGGGAAGCAGCGCGTGCAATCTTCATATAAGTGTTTGTTGATAAAAACTTATTTCACTATCACTTACACAAAACAAAATATAATAGAATAAAGATTTTAGAATGATGTGATCAATAATAATAGGTAGGATGGTACCTCAGCGGTAATATTTGCGCGAAAACCAGTGGCTGGGTGTAAATTTGCAAGCTTGTTTCCTTTGAATGCACTTTTTTCAAGGATGAAAAATAGTGTAGTAGCGAGCAAGTCTACGAAACTACATCGGTGCTTAGAATGCAATCGTGTCTTAATATCTTAATTTGTAATGGACTTACATTCTTGTTCTCCGTAAGCTTTACAAACTGGGCACCGTCTGTCTGTGTTTCGCCTCTCCCTGTTCGTAGCATGTCCGTAGTGCCAGATTTGAGTGGATCTTTCCTCATTAGTAGCAGCTCAGTGGACGAGTAATCAGGTGCTAGAAAAATGTAAAAATCTCTTTTTAAGTTCTGTCTTATCCAATGAACTCTTCCAGTTTTTGGACTCTTACCATTAGCTGTGTATAGATAACGACCAGAAAACAGAAATGGTGCTATAACGTCTGGAGCATGCGGGGCGAGGCCGTCTCCAGCGAATAATCTACGCGGTCCTGGAATTTACGGCTGGTTTATTCTACTATATATGTCCAGAAAATTATGTTGCATTGCATGCGGCAGAATAAACAAAAACAGTGAGTAAGGCATTATTTGAAAAAAAAAGGCTCTACAAAACGGTATTTACATTGCACAAAGATCCACGGTCTTTGTTCCACGTGAAATGTGAAGGCAAATCAAAACTTCCAAGAGTTTGGAAGGTCGAATCTTTCTATAGCTCTTACAAATTCAGATCCGCTCAGGCATGAACCCTCCACATCAGACATTTACGTGAACAGTTCATGGAATTTTTCAGTGTATAGAATACGAGAAAAAAGGTGAGTCAAAAATGCGAATATGTCGCGTTTTTCAGGTTTTTTGAGATTGATTCGATATTTCTTGAATACAAGCCTTTTTACAAAGTGAAAACTCATAGTCATACTTCTCTTATGCTAATCATCCATCTGGGGGAAGCTGAAGATTGACTTGGCAAAAACATACTAAATTCCGTTTTTCCAACTTTCAGCTTCGGAAAACCAGGAAACTCTGTGTCTTATATAGAGAATGTGTATGCGCGAACAAGTCGGGACTTCCCGGGGTTTTCTTTGACAAGATATAATTTTTTCGATTTTTCATGCATTTAGTGTCTTTCAAACTGTCTCCAATCTCACACAAATCAAACATTTCGCGAATGTTAAAGCTTCATTTTGTAGAGCTTCGCTTGGTCTATCGAATGGTACCTCAGTCACAGTGGCGTACCTAGGGGGGGGGCGCTCCCCCTCCCCCCGAGAATGGGTCGCGAAATTTTTGAAAGTTACTTACATGGGTTAAAAAATGTGCAAATGACTTGTTTATACTTGTAAATAATTAAAATAATTTTTAAAATTTTTTAAAAATTCATTTTAGCCTTGTAAAAAAATTTTTTCGGGGGCGTGGCTGACGCCACGCCCCCTTTTTCTGAAATTTCGGGGTTCTGAGCCCGCGAAAATTTTCGGGAGCATGCCAAAAAAATTTTCGGAGTGCGGGCTGATGCCACGCACCTTCATCGGGAAAATTTTTTTGTCGCGCCCCCCCCCCCCGAGCCGAAATCCTGGGTACGCTACTGCTCAATCACTATTTATCGTATTACTCTGCCGCAATAATTTAAGTTGAATCACATTATTTTCCGGACAACCTAATATTTTGTATTACTAAGTGAAACTGACGTCTTTCCCGTTCAAGGAAGTTTGCACAGGTGGGATTCAATCCATGAGTGCCACAGACGACGAAACCGGCTTGTGTGAGGTAGAAGGTGCGGATGTAGTTGTCGCACAAGTGCTTAATTGTTCAAAGCTAATTTTCCACGATGATTTTAATGGTCGTATTTGAAATACTGCTAATGAACCATGGAAATGATCGTTAATGGGTGATGTGAAAAATGCCCCAACATCTACCAAGCAAACTGTAAATTGCTCTAGCGTTTGGAAGCAGCTTCGTCCAAGTTTCAGTCTTTTCAAGATATAAGTTTTTACCGAGAAAGTTTTCGTTGCGAACGTAGTTTTGACGATTTTGAGATGTAATCTCTACTAACCTAGAAACACACATTGCTTGTTGACCTCAGTAATTAGTGCAACAAGACCCCAAATTGAACAATAATAATTAAACAAAAGATGTGCGTAGTCGAATTTACAATAATCCTCGTTAAAAAATTTCACCCATAAATATGCTAATCGAGTCTGAAAATTACTTACCAGCGATGTGGTTTTCTTTGTACATTCTAATCGATCGCTATCAGATGTGGCCCATTCGTACTTGAATATTACAGACAGAGGAGCTATGCTCACATTGAAGACTGCGTTTCTGCAAATGTCACATCAACTTGTTTTTCATGGCTTAATTTATAGGCGGTAACCTTTAGATTTTCTAAGAGCACTAATTTTCAACTATTTTTGCTATCCACGTACAAAAGCTATCATACTCAGTCTCCTTATAATCTTACTCTCGTAGCTTGGATCTCATTTTTGATTTGAATTCTGCGATTTTTAAAACTTCCTTGGGAACTACTGACGAGAGACACCAAGGAAGTTGCACTACCAGTATAGCTCTAAGCCCTGAAATCGGATAATGTAAAAAACAGGCAAAAAACATTGAATTTCTTGTGTTCCTTTTTACTTTTAAATTTTTGTCAAATGCCTTTTGTCACAAAAACACAAAATCTGGCTCATAGCCAGTCAATATTCGAAGTTGGAAAATCGCCAAAGATTTCTGGCCTCACACAGCAACACTGAAAAGACCAAGTTACGAATATTAACAGGCTGGATGATAACTTCATGGATTTTAGCAGAGTCAATCATTAAATTGTCACTTAAGTCTTTTCATATCTAACTTTTCAGTTTAAAGTCAGTTCTTCTGATATTTTTGATAGAATGCAGGGTACCATTCGAGAGATCAAAGCAAGTTCTACAAGATGCTTTCAAAAGTTCGTAAAATTGATCCGCAATTGAGTTTCAAGCCAAATCAAAAAATTCCGAATCCCCGAAGAGAAGAAATTAATCGTATCTCAATTCAGATCGATTCTGCAGACTTTCGACTATCTCAGGCATGTATTCTCCCCATCATATAATCATACGTATATTTGCCGCATTCTTCTTCAAACTTTGCCTGTAGAGGTCCTGTGATCCCCACAAGTATGTCATTATGAAGCTTACTCATTCAAAAATATTGTCACAAATTTGCAACCTTATAGGTGCCCTAGTTCTTGACAAATATCAGTTTGAAGATTTGAATGTAAAGACTTATGAGACAACCATATATGGAAAAAAAGTTTTGCTAAGAAAACCTGTACACTTTCAATTCTTCAACAGACTTCGGAGGTTTAATCCAAGAGATAAAAAAATGCTAGTTTCCAGACTGATTTATGGAATCCACAAATGGTCAGTGAACTGACTGCAGCAATTTTTCACTTCTTAGACAATAAAACTTAATCTTCTTATCAAGATCATGCTGGAGCCGAACCTACACACTGAAACAAGAACAAAGAACTCTTTTTTGATCGTGAGATTACATTAATAATGTGTGTTACTACTATGGTAGACAAGAACAGGAACGAACAATTAAAACAAAAAAAAACAGGAGTTCTCCAATGTTCTCTACTTTAAAATGATGTATGAATCCGTTGTGGAACATTCGAAAACTTGGTGAGAAAGAAAATTTGAGAAAAAAAACTTGAAAGTGGTACTTTCGTACCTTCCTCCGAGCAGTACATGCAGCCCATAATTGTGCAGAAGCACAAGCGAATCGTCAGTTGAGAATCGCAGTCGGCTAGTGGCTAAAATGAATGATTTTTACCCGCTCAAAAGGAATCAGACAACTGGAGTGTTTCCATACACTCCATACATCCTTTTTGAAGTTTTTGTAGCAAAAATTTTTCACTCACTATCACGCGATATGGGTCTTAGGCCTAAGGCATACCTCGCGCGATTCCGATTTGGCACAACAGCGACTCTTTATAATTCGTCGTTAATGCGCTGTCTTTGGTCAGAACTTGCTCCATTTGCAACAACTTACACAAGCTACCCAACTATGCATCCGAGAAGCGCGCACGATAAATTTGTAGAAATCTGGCAAATCGCCAAGTCGCGTGAAAGTGGCGATTTGGCCGAATCGCGTGACGTATGCCTTAGGCCTTACAATTTGTAGAGGTTATACCAGTATTTGGGCATGATTTTACTGATTACAAAGACCAAAAAACAGAAAAAATAGAGCTAAAAAGTTAAAAATTACTTTAAAAAATTACTGAAAATCAAACGGAAACTAAATATGTTGGTCGGAAGAGGGAGGAGGCGAGAACAAAGAGCGGAATAGTTCCTATCCGAATAATTGAAAATGGCACTAGCAGCGCCTCTGGAAAATTTAAAGAGCTCCAAAGCTGTGAAATTCTGTGCATTAAATCTGTGGAAAACAACGCAAAAATTAAAAAGAAGGCTCGAATGGTGATGCACATAAAATTCTGATTAAGGCGTACATTTCATAGCAACCGACTACAATAGAAGAGAATAAATTTATTTTGAAGTGATATAAAAAACTATTCGTGAAGCGAATCGACTGAAATCTACATTCTTGAACCAGAGACAGACTGAATCGTCGACTATTGGAAAGAGCGAGTTTTAACTTATTTTAACGCCCTACCAGGGCTCGGCACGAGGTGGCTAGATGAAAATGGAAAAAACGAAGTCCCCCTTGACTTTTGGGAATTTTTACGAAGTCCCCTTTGACCCTCAACCAAATTTCCTCTAAAAACCTGAAAAATTCCCCAAAATCCCCCAAAAAACGAAACGTCGACTAAAAAAAAAGGTCGCCGTCGCCAATTTTCCGTGTCTCTTCGGTCACAAAAACGAAACCCCCTTTGCTTTTCGTCCCAAAAACGATATCCAGCTTGCTTGTAAGCCACCTCGTGCCGAGCCCTGCGCCCTACTACTATTTTATCGCGCTCTCTTCCGTGTTTTTTTTCTATTCAAGGTTAATAAGTAAAATTTTACGCAGTAACAACGAGCAAAGCACACATTTGACAAACATGACACTGAGAATTTGCTCGTTTGGATTGCACACATATAAATAGTTGATTTTGCCCTACACCAGCAGAGCGATTGTCATTGAACAGGTGCAGTCCACAAAATTTTTGTACTGAAGAACTTATAGGTTTCGTATGCACAATCTGCGCAACCCATTAGAAAAAGCGGTATTGATTTTCAAGGAAGCATTGACCATTACGCTGTGTGACTTTTTTCGCATGATTTCCCTTCACTACTTTATTTTTAAATTGTCAAAAGCTCACGGTATAATTTATATCAAGGCTCGGCACATGTGACTTGTAAGCCAGTTGGATATCGTTTTTGGGACAAAATGCAAAAGGGGTATGGTTTTTGAGGCCAAAAAACAGAAAAATTGTAAAGTTTTTTTAGTCGATGTTTCGTTTCTAGGTTTTGGGTCAAAGGAGATCGCAAAAATTCACGAAAGTCAGGAAGTTCGTTTTTTGGGTTTTTCAGAACCCACACTGTGCTCAGTCCTGATTTATATTGTCCAGTATGAGGATTATGGAATTTTTTTATCCATATTTATTGCTTATGAAGTGATATAATTCAGAATGTCTAAGCTATAATCGTTAATCAAAAACGCTAATTTCGATTTTTCATTTTTCACAAATGGTTTAACGTCACTTTCAATTTTTATCTGAAGGAAGAAAAGCCAAGTTGCGAGAAAATTTTGAGAGTGTCTATTCTCGAGCAATTCTTCATCTCAACAATGATCTAATTAGCAATGACAGAAAAAGTGTTCGCACTGAATGCAAAAAATCGGATGATGGATGAGGTCGGGTGCTCTCAGAACAGCAAAACCAACAATGATCTTGGGGGGAAAAGCAAGGAGTGCAGATAAACACCGAAGAAAGCGCTTACCGTTGCTGAAGTCGAACTCAGGGACAGGCGGGGCCGAAGAAGCGAAGGCTGGCAGGAGCAGTGAGGCGAGGACGACAACAGCTACGATCATGAACCCGTCGTTGGCAACAGCGGTGTCATCTGAAGAGCAGCGGTGGTCAGAACTCAAACGAAGGGGCCGGGGATGAACCCTTCTGTAGAGAGCAGATCGACATCTGCACGAACGAGATGAAAGATAGCGCCTAATTAGGTCAGGTTTTCCTAGAAAAATGCAACTGAAAACTGCACTCTCAGGAAATGGAAGAGAGAGAGCGGCGAGCGCGCTGGGTGCAGAAGAAGCGCGTTGTGCAATTAGTGGGATTGCCCAAATCGTAGTGAAACACAAAGAATCCGCTCTTGTCCCATGACGAACGGCTCAGCCGCACATCTCACGACAGCTGCTGCCCAGCTCGCTTTTTTTACACTCATCAACCATTTTTCCACATTTTCAGCTATACTGTGCTACCGAATCATGAAAAATAAATTTATGAAAATGACAAATTGAACTGACAGCACAAGGTGTACTGTTTGCGATACAATAAATGCCATCAATAAAAGTTCTTATTTTTTGGCAGTTTGAAAATTTTGACTTCTATTACTAAACTTAAGTACAGGTTTAATTTCCAAAAAAAGCAACATTGTGCTTCATAGCAACGCCAAATAATTATTTCTGGGATAGGGGAGAGGAAAGTGTGAAATGTTCTTACAACGGGGGGGGGGGGGGAGGTGGTTGCAAAAGCAGCTGATTATCAACTAAATTTGCCAGATAAGGCGGCTATCTTCATTGGTGAGAGAAGTTACCTCGCGGACTCCTTCAAAATTTTATTGTTGAAGAGCTCGGTCCCAAAAGTCTCATTCCGAAGAGAGGAAAGAGATAAGAAGGAACGAACGGTACTTTTCGTGCAAAATGGGAAGGGACGAACTACACTTAACAAGCAAATTTGCGGTATTTTGTGCTCCAGTAAAGCCCTCCTAATCATTTAAAGTGGGGGTGCGCTGGTAATTGAGCAAAGTCCATTTCTTTCCTTCAAAATTTAATCTATTTTTTTCGACGAAATCCCGTAGCGGGGATTTCTGAGTTTTAGAGTTAGTCCAGAAGGGCATGCCAATGTATGGCTACGAATTATATATCAAATTATGAATAATATCAGCTTCCAACTGATTGTGAGAATTTTCCACACAGGCATACGCCATGACCAATTATTTAGTAAAGCGAACGAGTAACAAGAGTTTCTTTCTATAGAGAAGATTGGTCAAGGCTTGCGATGTGATTAGATTAGAAAAGTCTCTCTATTGGGCATTGAAAAAAATGGAGATCAGCTGAAGAGTAAGGTAATTGGTAGATAACAATTCTGGTTCAACAACACTTTTACAATGAGAAATTATCAGAAGCCACTTTTAGTGCTGTTTTACGACTGTTTTGCACAATGCTTCAGTTTCCTCTATGAAGTATCTCAAAAAGCCTTTGCTAATTTATTCAAACTTATTTCTCGGACTCATTAAATTGGCACCTCACTGCATCAGAACAGTGAGATTGAGTCCTGAAACTAGAGGTACAGCTAGTTATTATTGAGAATATTTAAAATCGTTTATTCGGTACCCTTGAAAACACAGCATCATTTTACAATGCATCTGAGATTGACCCTGCTCAAGACGATCTCTGACTCTTATAAATTACTCCTTAGGTTGCGCAGTGCAATATACAATATTACCTTCAGCAAATTGAGTAGGCTTCAAAGTTTGTAAAAAAATTATTTCCAGGAATCATCCAAAGGCTCTTACTCATTCAGAAAGCAAATAAGTATCGGGCAGTCTTATAACTAGACTTTTTTGTACTTTTTTAGTATTTTAGCCGCTTTTTTTAGCTCTCAAGCTTGGTAACAGTCATTATGCGACTACTACGGGACCGTAAAACATCTACAATGTTGGAAAATAATTTTGTGTAATGTGCGGTAACATGAGCAAGAATGCAGTATATTGTGGGTGTCAGGAAAAAAGATCGAGAAGACATTTACAGAGGTTCAGCAGATGTCCTTCAATATCGCAGAAGGAGAAATTACAGAAAAGGAAAAACATGCAGCGTTTTGGCGACCCGATAGTACAGCATGAAGCTGCTATGGTAAGCGAAAACAAATTACATTATGTTTTTTCATACGCAAATGATTTCGACATCAATGATTTGAAATGAAGCTTTAAGTCGCATTCTTTTTAGCATGGTCTGATTTTTTGCATGAACATGTGAAAATTAAAGAAAAAGGGGCGTTATCCTTTTTGTCGATGAGTGGACTATCTACAGCCGGACTTGCAATCTTTAATCTTCCATGAGGAGGGACGTTTACAGAGATGTAAGTATCAGTCCAAAAAAATGGGGAACTATGGAGGTATGTAACATGTATTTAATCATGAACGATGAGGGTTATCTATAAATCATCTCTAAAAGTTTTTTTGGAAATTACAAACTTGCGAAGGAAGTTTTAGCATTCAACAAAACATTCTGGAACAGGGCTCGGCACGAGGTGGCTAGATGAAAATGCAAAAAACGAAGTCCCTTTTGACTTTTGGGTATTTTTACGAAGTCCCCTTTGACCCCATACCTTATTCCCTAATAAATCCCTGAAAATACTCCAAAATACGAAACGTCGACTAAAAAAATCGCCAATTTTGCGTGTCTCTTCGGTCACAAAAACGAAGCCCCCTTTGCTTTTCGTCCCAAAAACGATATCCAGCTTGCTCGTAAGCCACCTAGCCCTGTTCTGGAATTCTTCTCGAAAACGTCCTTTTATTGCTTCTTTCCTCAATTCGCCGCCCCAAAGAAAAAATTTCGTCGAGACATCTGGCTGACATACAGAGCTTATACCTTAGAAAATTTATGAGTAAAATAACGATCACTTAAAGGCAACGCCCAGGCAGAATCTCGACTTCTATTTTTTGTCTTATCTAGGCCTTTTCACGATCCTAATTCCAATTATGCCACTCAAAATGCGTATAATCCTTCAAAAAATAAAAACCATTTTAGAGACAATTCTGTGAGAAGCGTGAAAGAATGCTTCTAATGCAAGCCTTGTCGAAAGCAAGCATTAACAACTAAAGATTATGTGCTCCACTATGTTTGTCACGTGAAAACACGTCAAAGGCTGAGGAGAGTTCGTTCAAGGGGGCGGGCAGTACGAAGAAGTGGGCGTGGTCTTTGAGACTCAACGTTTTCTGCGCCTATTTTCTTCTTTTACAGGGGGTGTAAAAAAGTCGGAATTGCGCGCTAGATCTAGACTGAAGCCTGTACTCAATTATGATAGTATCCTATAATGTCCAAATCTGCCCGGATGCTGCCTGCAAGGTAGTATTTTGGGTAACAGGAAGGATAAGGAAAGATTGACAAAACGAGGATGAGCGAATCACGAACTTTTTTTGGGGGACGCAGAAAAATGCTGTGAGCGAGTCCTAAACTAATGATTGAATTATAGCGTATCATGCATCCAAGCAGATAAAGAGAGAAATAGAAAACGGTAAAAAATGGAAAAAATATTAGGTTAGATTTGGCAAATTTGCAATTTGCAGATCAAGATGATAAATAATAAAATGGTTTTATGAAATTTAACCCGTTACGAAATTCATGGAACTATGTGCCTGAGACTTTTACATTATGCACAGCGTTCGTTTTCGTGCCTAATTGTGAGAGAGAGGACGGAAGGCAGAGTCATAAAGGCGAATAGGCTTCGTTTTTGACACTGACACCGGTTTCATTTCGAGCAACTTGACTAACGAGCTGTTACACTGCATGCGTTTGTTCTCCGAGTTCATGCCAGTGCATATTGTGAAACAGAAAAAAAAGAGAATGAAATTTCAGTAAGCATAAATATGCTCGTGAAAATTGATAATAATTGGTAATTAATAACGTTAATTTATAACTAATCAATAATGAATTATAAACCAACCTGAAAAGAGATAGCAAATTCAAGAATTAGGAGCAGCAGCGTGAAGCCACCAATTGCGAATAGCTTTCAAATGAGTTTCAATAAATTTCAAAAAAAGGAGAGACTACAATTTTTAGAGGAAGCAAGGTTTTAGGATCTATTTAGTGACTTCGAATGTCATTTGACAAGCTAATACTGATTCATATTTTAGTAATCTACACTGTTTTGATTTGTAATTGTTTTCTTCCATGTCATTTTTATTTGCTTGAGTTTTGAGACTAGTACCCCATTTGTTTGAGTTGTTTTTTTCGGCGCACTTCAAGTGTATTGACAAATAAATGAATAAATAAATAAATAAATTTGAAAATAACGAGTTTACTGTATGACAGTGTCGAGAAAAACCAAACTTCTGCTGTGGACAGAAAGGAAAAAAAAACTGAACAACATCTACGACGATGACGTCCCTGCATTTTGAATAGACTTATTTTATAAACATCAAAAAACACAGTCATTGTTCCCTTGTATTCCTAGATAAAAAATATCTTATTTCGGCTTCAAAATAGTAATTTAGGAGGCTAATTCCAGCTCATACTGGAGTTAAAGGACTCTGCATTTTGCAGCAAAGATTCTCCGCCAAGAGGTCGTTACTGATAAATATTTTGTGATAAGAGTGTGACCTGGTAAGCAGTCTGCACAGCATTCGTTATCGGACAATTATATTGCACTGCAAACGATATTTGATGCAGTTTCCTATTCCACCAGGACTTTATCACATAACAGAAAGAAAACACTTTGATGATGAAGGATAGAAGAATTTTTATTAGAAATGAAAAGAACTATTCATTGATCGTTTTCGCTTTTGATAGGACAGCAAAATTTAATGGACGAAAATATTGTGAAACCTTTTTTGCAATGAATTGGATTAAGTTGACGCAATAAGGAGAAGATTTGACTGCTGATATAGTGCGGCTGCAGAACCGACAATATTTACGCGTATAAAGCGGGCAATGAGCGCAGAACTAAAAAATATGCGCTCTACGGCCAACTTCTACGTGCAAATTTTGTCAGCAAATGCCATTCGTCAGGCTAACCTATACATGAATATTCAAGTGTCGCCACTTGATTTGAACTGCTGAAATTTTGGAGGGATATAATTAGGTTTTCTCAAGTGGGGCTAGAGTGAGGGAAGAGGGGGGGGGGGGA